GATTATTTTTTTTATGATATTTACAATATAAACATAAATTAATACGTTAAATGAAACGACTTTAACAAGTTAAATATAATTTTTAATTAACTTTTTTTTTAAATAAAGCAATGCAAATTATTTTGACAATTTCCTGAAAAGAGCAACGAAGGTTTTAAAGTATTTGTACCAAAATTTTCATATTTCATCAGACATTTTTGAGAACAATATTGTCAAATTTATGGCTGATACACTTTTATTTTTTAATTGCAGACGAAATTGGTACGGAAGTTTTGGTGAAGGAATTACCAGTAAAAAATAAGACCGTTAATTTGCTTACTCAATACAGTCAAAATAAGGATCATACGAAAAAAAAAAGATACTTTTGTTTTTTGGCAATAAAATTTTAAATAAATTTGGCGGCAAATATGGAGAACAAAAGCAATTAATCGATTTTATTGTAAATCGGAAGATCACTGTTCTTCACGACAAAGTGATAAATTTTCATTCGAGTTATTACATGAGAAATAATTATGTTTTTGTCAGATGTGCAGTTGTGTCTTTTGTGTAAAAATAACATTTAAACAACAAATGATTTCATACTAAATTTAAATAAAGAAACTTGTTATTATTCAGATATTCAAAATTAGGTCAATAAACCTGAACACTCAAATACGTCACCGTAGTCGCTGCCTCTTGTCTTATACATACGACTAATTAATATTAAAGATAAACAAAAAGGAATACGGGACATATTTTTGATGCTATCGTAACTCCTGGAATACAGAGAACAAAGGCATGTGAACTAATAACAGTACAAAATGTATGAGATGTATATTTTTCAATTAAATGAGACAATCTATTAGTAATATAATAACAAAATATACCTTCATTATAGGCCCATTAAGCTAAAATAAAAAATTCTCGTCACACTTACAAAATCTTTTAATCTAAGTTTACAATTTAATGTACATATAATATTTACTATATTTAATATAGTATATACCTATAGTATATATCAGGTTTAAGCTTCTGGGGGCCCCTTCTTCAACTCACTTAGCGATATTTCCAGCATTAGCATTAGCCAGATTCTTACCTTTGTTAATGCCTCTGGCTGGTTCTAGGTTGACACTCTATCTACTACCCACTATTACGAGGTTTTTTTTGTGGATTCAAAACGGCTTTCTCTTTTAGCTAATTGGGGAGGTTTCGTCCTCCCTCCACCACAAATAACTAACTAACATATAGCTATATATATTTACACTGATATATTTTAACTCTATAAGGTTATTTATAGAACCTTTACTTAAAATCCCAAATAGAGAGCTTGCTGAGACAGTGACAGTGGACACTTAGCACAGTGACAATGAGAACAGTAACAATGAGAACAGTATCAATCAGAACAGTGACAATGAGAACAGTATCAATCAGAACAGTGACAATGAGAACTGTGACAATGAGAAAGAAAATGTAATCGTTTTTCATTGGAAATGTTTTATTGGGTGGCAAATAATTAAACATTTATTGTTCTTTATTATAGTAAATTATTATTTTTCACTGAAATTTATTATTTTACTCTTTACTTGTTATGTTTATATGCTAGTATAAAATAATATACACTCATCGTTGGACCTGTTAGTATTGTCCCTGTTGGAATGATGGATCAACTGCATCTGTTTAGACAATTGAGTCCGTGAAGTAGACTTAATCGCTTCATGTTTTATTTAAAGCATAAATCTCTATGTACTTAAAAAACAACCAATGTATTTAAAAAAAACTGTAGGTAACGTTTAAAGATTCGGAAATTTGAAATTGTAATTGACAATATATTCTTCTAACGATATACTACGATATAGTTGCCCCTTATTATTACTATAAGTATTAGAAATATGTGATATTTTTTGTTATATTAATGCTTACAATATTATATTTAAATGAAAAAAGCAATATGAGTTCCTTTTATTTTGTGAGCGCGTCTACTGTCTTCTAAGCGCCAATTGTTCCTATCAAAGGGCCACCTTAACGGATTTTAGAAAAAAATCTATATAATCAACAGATTGAAATTATGTCCGATAGTAAAGCAGTTGCTATTCTTGCACTCGTCCAATTATAGCACAAAATCAAAGCTAGTAAAATAGTACAAAACTTAACTGAGGTAAATAAGTAATAATGGCACAATATCATTAATCTAGGATTTATCTACCATCTTCAACAGAGCAGTAAATATTGATCTCATTAAAAGAAACTTAAACACATATCCAAAACAATGTTCTAGAAATAACAGACTATTAAAAGAAAATTATTATGGATTACGGAAAATTCAAACTCATAAACTATAACTTATCAATAACGGAAATCCTATTTAGTCAAGATCGAGCAAAATTTGGGGGTCATTTTGATATATCTACGACCATTAGGCACCCATGCTGAAATATTGGGTATCGGGATAATATATATATTGGGATATACATTACACACAGCCAGGGAAAGCAAACAAAAAATAAATTGAAAACTTTCTTGGCAACAAATACCAAATAAAGTACATAACATATAAAACAATAAATAAATAAATAAGTTTTCAAAGAATTTTCTGTCAAAGTTACACTTAAAAGTGTAATATATTTGATAACAATTTAAACATTTTTAAATAAAAGGCAAACACAACATTTAGTTATCAATTACAAGTACATACTTAATTTTATGGTTAAAGAAACCATTTCCAGAATGTGAATAAATCACTAGATCTTTGTGTCATAAAAATATTTTTTTTTACATTTACAATTAACCTTTAGTTTGTAATCTTTTTGGACTACAAACGATGCACTTTGTAATTTGTGAAACTTAAAATGTAAAATGCAAACCATAGTCAAGTACGGCTTTGGAGAAATTGACTAATTAACACTAACTCTGAGCTTCAAATTTGACAGGGTAGATAAAGGTTTAATCCTTGGTACTTGCAATCTTGAAAAATTTTTTACACATAATAAAATAAAAGAAATATTTCCAAAAAGTGCATTGGTAATGAGTTTTTGATAGTATACAAAATAGTTTGTATGGTCAGCCAAAAAAATCAATTAATTAAAAATTAAATCTTCATTCTTATAAATCACTACTCTTCTTCTATATGAATATCATAGTTTATTTCGTCATGACTTTAAAAATGAAATTCATACATTTTATTTAACAAATTATCATAAGTAATGATGTCATAAGAGTACATATGTATGAATTGCCAGTGGTAATGTCTATAATCTCAATACAAATTTTTCAGTCAGGCTCATAAAAAATAATCTTTCTACTCAATATATTACAAAGCACACAAAATGTATGCAATGTAAAGTTATGACTTATAAAACAAGAAAAAAAGTTAACTTTGGTTTCGCTGAAGCTACAATTTTCTTAATATAGAACTTATAGTTTTACTATGGACTTTGTATATTTTGTTCAGTTGAAATTTTTTCTATTTAAAATCCAATACGCAATGTTGTCTACACATTTAAGTTTGTTTTTGACAGTTATTCTACACCAAATAGTAAATCAGTTTCATGTATTTCTTAATCTGATCTGGCTAGATTTGCAAAACGCTGTTAAAAAGATTTTCATCAATTCGTTTAACATCTGAACTACAAGTTAGCATACCAACAAGTGGACAACAGATTAACGATACGTCTTTATATACATAGTGTCTGATGTCTCATTTATTGGCGTTACATTTATTGTTTAAATTATTTATTATTTTTAAGTATTTAAACAATAAACTTTATATAGTCCTATCGAAAAGTGACCACGATACGAATTATTTAATTAGGATTAAGAAAAAATACATAAAATGCGAAAAATATATATAAGTATTATCAGTGCTTGTGTATAGAATAAGTAATGTTATACAAGAACAATTCTGAAGATCCATTTAGGTCTTTTTAACCATTATGTTGCCGTATAGAGTTCATTTAAAACTGCTTAAAACTTTTAATAAAGTTGCAAATGTTCTTTAAGGAGCGCTTTAGTAGCGGGCTGAGATTCTATAGAAAGTGAATCCTTAGCCTTCTAGAGCTTTGAATTTTCATTTGCTTTCAAGTTATAACAAGGATTGTAAAAATCAAGAAATAAATTTGGTCCAATGACTATTCTGATACTACTCAGTGCTAACTTGCTGATATATAGCATACTAAATATTTCTTATTCTGATAATATTAGCATGGATTTTAACATTAAGTGAATTAAAAGCATAATTCACTGAAAGTATAATTATTTTTATTGCGTGATCGCGGTCAATTCTATGAATATAATTTCTGCACTTTGAATTTAAGGCTTATAAACCTATCTCCAATGCAAGTCCGTCAAGGCAATAAAATTTATAAATAAATTTATAAATGCATATCTAAATTTTAGTAAAATCTCACTTTCAACACTTTTCTTAGTGCAAATATTGCATTATCAGCATTCAGCAGAAAACATTTATAAATAAACAAAGAATTAGAAAAAAGTTTTCTTTGTTTATTTTCCCGTACATTTAAAAAAAACCATATGGCCTTATATGATATAAAACTGTTACCTCAATTATAGATAAACAGACACAGTTTTAATTAATAAACACAAATTGCACAGTTAAGCTTTGTATAATACTTGCAGCAGTTGTCAACGTTGTTGGGAAGTGCAATTAAAAAGTTGTTAACCGATTATCAACTGAAACGATTATAACTTTATTTATAGATAAAATTATATTTAAAAGTACATGAAAATCGCGACACAAAAGTCAATGTAAATATTGATCACACCAAAATAGCTGAAAATCACATTTATCCGAATGAGAGTATATGAAAACGTGTAACCACAACTATAAACAAATGATTGTTTATATGGTATCAGATAATGTGACAAAGGTCAGCATGCGGTTGCGCTAAACCCTAACTGTGAAAATGCCTAAAGAGGGCCATGTATGTACTCATGTTCATACTTGAAAACTTGATAATCTGTGGTTTGATCTTGTGCTAAAGATCATGAATAAATAATAGGCTCACCTGTCACGCGGTCCCGTTCAAAATGAAAATATTTCCGCACTTGTTTGCGAAAAAATTCCATGAAATCATTTTTTTGTATTGTGCCGGTTTGATATTTTAGACGCCAATCCTTAAGTGGTGATTCTGAAACCTGTGTTATTGGTGGAACCACATCCTCCATATCAAATCTGTCCATTTTGTGTATTTTTGTTTTTGTTTTTGGTTCTGGTTTTTTCCTTTGTTACAAATATTACAACATATATTTTTATTTGTTAAATTTTTAACAATTGTTCTGAATCCATAAAAAGCTTTCTAATCGTTTTCCGATCTAAAAAAAATTAAATATTATTTTAAAAAATATATTTTTATAATTAATATAGCATTGTTAAACTACTAATTTAGAACAAATAATAATTATTATAAAAATTAAAATAAAATGAGAGTAAATAAAACTACTAGATGGATATAAGGAAATAAATATTCTGATAGTTTAATATATTCTGAAAGTTTTAAAAGAACTTTTGGGGCCATAGGTTCAATCAAATTTAAAATTTTGTAATGTCCCTATAATTCCCTATAATTATAATTAATATTTTTTTATTAAATTATTATTATTATTTTATTGGGAAATACTATACATCGAAACTCTGATGGTCATTTTGGATGATTTCGTTTTGTTGCATATGGTATGGAGTAACGAATATGTCCACAAGATGGATAAGTCTGTCACTGCTCAGTTTTGGGCAGTGGTATTTTCGCTATTTGTTTTGATAAATTTTATGCAACAATATAACTTTCTGAGATCTGTAATGTTGTTAAAATTGGATTTCATTGATTATTAGATTTGGAAAATTCTCAAATATATCCGAAACAATCGCTTGGTACAACAAGAAATCAGTACTGTAGTCTGGACACTGCAAAACAATCAAAGCAGCAGACTTAAGAGTGATTAAAAAAATTCCCAAAAAGACGAAGACTGTGATTGCAATTGAGAATGTCATGACTATGGATTATTTGAAATCACAAAGAAGTATACCTGCAACATCACTAGCCATATTAGACAGCCTATCACAAAATGTACCCATTTACAAAGGTCGGACAACAACTGGCGCATATTATTGCGAATTTGTTGCAATGAATTATTTTAGAAAAGATCTAGCAATTCTAAGACATAAATGTTTTAAAAACAACAGAATTTAATTTTTGCAATGTAGGCTTCAAAAACGATTGAAAATCTACTCATTACTCAGACCAAACTTGGATTACAACTTCCAGCAGAAGTCTATTGATGAGCATGAAATCGAACCAGTTGGCGTACGCAAATAACTCAGATACCTTAAGGGTTAAAACAATATAAACTTATGAGCATACATTAATAAATTAATAAATTTTAACATCAAAATTAATGCTCCTAGCCAATAGCTTCTTCTTCAGGCATCACTAAGTAAGCTGGTATTCGGTAAAGTGATAAAAGGACAAACGTGTAAACTCCTGGTTTTTATTTTTTCGCGGAAAAGGCTGAAGTTGCTGTCGTAGGAGTAGTGAATGTGCAGAAATTGTTTAGTTATAATAGTTTACACACAGCGTAAAACAACATAACACAAAACATAAGTTCAATCCGAATACCAAATACTTTGCACAAAAGAAATACAATGTTTCTATCAGCTGATATAAGATTGTTCCTATGTTTAGGTAAAGCAAGCAAAATCCAATTGGTTTTAACGTTTCCCTTATATTGTTTTCAATACAAATAATCCTTGAAGGGGTCAGCTGATTTCAGAACAATTAACTCAGTGTTCCAATTGTAAAATATAACTTTCAAAGCAGCTGTTTTTGTTTATTTTGTTGTATATAAGTGTAAGAAAATTGCAAGAAAAAGGAAGTAAGAATATTAAAATTAATATAAAACATTTAAATAAATAATTATTTTTTATTTTTATAAATAAATTTCTCTAATTTATTTTTTCAAACATTTCAAATTTCCAGTTAACTTTAAAATTTGTGCGGTACTTCACAATAATAAAAATCAGTTGATGTTCTACTAAATACCAAAACAATAATCAGATATAATGCCTAGACAACTCCGTAACATTAAAATTTCAAAAAACAAATAAAAATTTCTTTGACTCCACTGAGGAATCGAGCACATCTATATACCTCTATCGCGTTTATTGTGTATACTACGCATTCAGTCTCGATCTGTCAAATTTTGTTGTCCAGAAAATTTTTAGAGTAATCTAATATTTTCTTAGTCGTGTTAGAAGACATTTACATTTTTCACAAATACATATATCGAATCAAATCACAGTTTTTCTGTCAAATCATATAAAACAGCTGTTAATTTCAGGGTAATCTTGCTACTCTGTCAAAATAACTAGAGTGTTATAAATTAATCTCGAGTCGAAATCAAAAATAATCGAAAATAAAATAGCACTAAAAGAGTATTAAAAAAGAGCATCTTAATTAAAAAATTTACCCTAGCTTTACCAATCGAAAACACCATAAGAGTACAATGACAGTGCGAAGAGAAGTGTGTTAATTTTTCATTTTATTTGAAAATTAATAAAATGTATTGGACAGAAATTCAAAATTTCGAAAAACTATTGGCCAATGTTGAAATTGTTCACAATGATCTTTTGATTTATGCTGGATTCACACTAAAGTTTTATTGGTAATATTAGCTATCAATTATTGTTGCTTTTGATGCAAGATGAAGATTTTTGACAGCTAAAATTACAAACACAACTCTAGTGTGAATCCAATATTAATTTGTCAGAGAATTGTGCACAATATTTAAAATAAATTTTTAAAGTAAAATAAAACACTCAGAGCATTCAACATAATTATATTAAATCGACGTCAAGAAGTATGTTTGGGATTCTGCATATAATAAAAACTTTTTAACTTCATAAAGCTCACACTTGCATACCTTAAACTGGCTGGTGACAACCTGATCGAAGTTTAATTTCAAATGTGAATTTTTCTAAAAGGATTAAATTATTTCTATAAGTATTAAAAAATAGTAAACAACTTTATTATGAAAAATGAATGCTTATTAACCCATTAAGTACCAAGCAATATCAATCTTGGAATTTTACGGAGAAATTTCCATAGTAAATAGTAAAATAAAACAAGTTTAAGTAAATGAGAGGAGTTTAATATTTATTTAAAAAATTACTCTCATTTTATATTTACCTAAAAAAGATAAAATATTCTTTGAATATTAAAAAATATCCAAAGCTAACCGTGAGGTGCACCACATGGTGGTCAGAAATGGGTTAAGTGCTCTATACAAAGTTTTAATAACATCCTATTTAAAGGGTTAATACTTGTACTGAGATCATAATAGAAGAAGAATATACAAAAATACATTTAAAAGTAATAAAGGCACGGTACATGGTTAATATAAACACATTATGACACATCATGAACTTTTAAGAATATTTACTTTTCTGAGGTCTACACCGTAGACATTTGCACTTAAGTCCCATATGAATTAATAAAAAGTGTCCAACTTATAAATCAAAAGCATAAAAATAACAACTTTGATTTTCTTAACAGTCTATTTTAAGTATTAGTATATAGATAACATATGTTTTATATGTATAGCATAAAAGATATAAAGTTTTAGTTGTTTTTTTAGGTTATAAGTCTTTCCTTATTAATTCCTTTTAAATGCTTTGTCTGTATTGATCATTTAAAGCCGCAACCGAAGCATTTGCAATGGCATCCGCTATCGTCGACTAATAAATTTGCTTCATAGCAAAAATAAAACAGCTGTGCACGCAAAATTTTATTAAAAAAGAATTCCAGTTTGGTTTTTCTTTTTGCGTTTTGCCTTGTTGCCTTTTATAAGAATTTTAATTTTGATTTTGTGCACATAAAATGAATAGCTCTTCCTCTAAAAACAAACAAAAAAAATGTTATATAAATATATCGGGCGAAGTTATTGAACATATAAATGTGTTAAAAATCAAGTCATTATCATTAATTACGTATTCCTTTGGAATTCTTTGGGTAATACTGTATTTAATATATAAATTGTATGAAAAGCATTTAATTCCCCCGCAAATCCTATTGCATTTTGCAGTATATATGTATGTGTGTATGCAGCACAGCCAAAAATTCAACAAATTCAACAGAAACAACTGCAATACCCAGCGCAGTGAAAACAGCAGCAGCCCACGTATGTACGGACAGCGCAGTCACTGTTATACAAAAAGAGCAGCAGTCCCAAAACAGACCAGCGATTTACCTATCAGAAAAGTGATATATCCGATTGAAGGTCATACCAAACAACTTCCTTTACTAAGTTTTATATAATAATCACAAAATGTAATTTATTTCAAATATGTTTTACAAAGCTATTGAAATCTGTTTATAAATATATTAACATACTCACTAGATTTGTTCAAATTTAGTATTTATTTGAACACTTTTTTTTGGTAAAAGCAAAATTTCATCCACTTTTGGTTTCAGTTTTATTTTGCAATAATTTTTATACGTATTTTTTTAAGTGTACGTTTGCAAAAACAAAACAGAGCACATTTAAATCTTATTGCTTATTTAAATTTAATTTATAATTAACAAACTATATTTACACTACAGTAGTTGAAATATAACTAAAGGTTATTTAACATAATATTTTCATAGTATAACGCAATTTTTGGTGCTTCAATCTCAATTTTTTTTATTCCGTTTTTCTTTATTTATTTTTACTAAATTTTAGCCGTAACAATACAATAACGTTGCGAAAATTAAGAAGAATGAATAGCAACTAAAATATATAAAGCAAGAGTCCAAAATAAGACTAAAATAAAAATTCCGCATTGGAAAAAGAGTGAAGAATATACTTACAAAATAAAATGCTACTTTTTTGTAATGGTAGGGTTGCAATCATATAAAAGTATGTATAAAAATTTGTTAATTTTCATTAAAGTTATGACAATACATATATTTAAGATTTATATATTTACATCTGTATAAGAAAAATGTGTTTCATAAAAAAAGTAATATTAGCGATATTTATATTATTTTAACATAAGTTAAACTTTTCAAATTTAATGTCTTATACTATGTTCAGACAGTCAAATTTCCTTAATTGCGTAAAAATGAAATTAAGTTTATTAAGTTAAAAATGTTCATACTTCCCCAAATTAAAAAAATCATATGTTTTCTGTTCACAAATCGAATGTTAAAAATTACATGATCCAAACACCATTTGAATCTGGGAAATTTTAAAAGTTGATTACTATACTTAAAAGAATGACATTCAGTAGCTTTATTAGCTTTAGTCAATTTCAGGTATGTGAATTATTATTTTTCACCCTATTTTTCAGTTCTTTCTCTACATTCAAATTTAAAAATTTACATTACTTTCAAAATATTTTACTGGTTTTATTAAAGTCAACCGTCACTAACATTTATTTTAAAAAAATGACACTTCTTTGTTATCTCAACTTAAGTTTTTGCTTAAAATTTATCTTACGTATTTATATTTATCTTGTATTTCAAATGCCTCTTAATTTCAGCCTTCGTTTCAATGATATTAAAGCCATTTTCTATAATTTCGTTCTAACCTTAAAATTGAATTTTGTATTGAAAAAAAAAACAAATTAATTTCGCTGAAACGAAGATAGAATTAAGATTTTTGCGAAATTAAGGTGTATTTGAACATAGTATTAATTTCATTAAAGAAATAAAGTAATTAATAATAAAACAGAAACAAGCTATGATATTTCCATATCTTGAAGAATATGTCAAAATGATTGAGATTTGGAATAAAGCAATTTAGAAAGTAAAAACAATTCGTCTGTACGCTTGATTGCAACCCGTTTAAAATATTGACCAACTATCTGAGTAAAATCGAAGCTTTTTTACTTTAAGTCAAATATGTGTTGGAGCTTTAAGATAAAGTTTTCATCCTAAATATATACCTCTAAATTTAAAATTTTATAGACTACATAAAATTCATATTATAAATTAATACATTATATTAAAAAAAAATCATATGTATTATATAGTGCAATATATTTCTTTTAAATAAAATTTAATTTAATTAATTTTAGAATTAAAAGTATAATAATTAGTTAAATAAATATTTAAATGATCAATAAATATATTATAAATTTTAAAAAACAGTTTACATTCACTTTATTAATATATTCACTAACAATATTTTAATTAATTTTATTTGACAGAGTGTACTCAGAGTGTACTCAGACAGAGTATATCTAATTAGATATAAATACCTAACAAGAACATCTTTCCTTACTTCTCTAACTTGTTTCCAATTTCCAATATTTGTTGTTTAAATATCATGTCTTAAAAAGTGGTTTTAGTGGGTTGAAGTCTCGCATTCGGCTTTCAATTCTTTCAACCTACCAAAAAAAAAATCCCGATATATAATCATGACTTATGACTTTACCTGCATTCTGCGGTTTACATTTTCTTCGTTCCATTCTGATATTCGTTTACAAATATACTGGAACTTTTATTGCTCGAACGTCAGAATTTCATAACATTCATAAGTAAATAAAAATATAAACTTTTTCTGTTAAAAATAAGTGCAATAAATAAACAAATAAATATTTACATAAGTGCAGTGCAAAAAATCTCTAGGAAATTTCAATTTACTTTGCTTAATTTATTCGAACTCGCACACGAACTACATTGGGATTTGAAAATAACTATATAAAATATTTATTTGGTTAGCTACTGGCAACCATAGTAAAATTCGAATTACCATATGACATTACACAGTAGCCAGCTGTAAATATCTGAACATAATTACCTATATACTTTTAGGAAGTATTTTATTGATAGAAACTGGACCATAAAATATGTGCATAACTCATTTTAAATTATATTTATATTTTAAATTTAAAATTAATAACAATATGTGACTTAAGTCAACATATGCGCTCAGAAGTTATCATGTCATCAAATCAAACACCAAACTGTCAAAGTCTTTAAATACCTGTTAAGCTTTTGCAAGCTTTCATCAAACAAAATATAAACAAAGGACTTTATTTCATCAATCCTTGGATATTTTAATTAATAAATACTACATAAATCGACAGTTCAGTAAAAATTACTCTAACTGTGAACAGTAAAATAAATTAGAATATATATAAATAAAAGATATATACTTTATTAGTTAATTTTTTTAAGAATGAAAAGTAAATATCGTGTGAACGAATAAAACGTAATTACCTTTGATAAGTGAATTTTTGACAGTTTTTCGAGAGTTTTGCAAACGAACTGCGTTCTGTTGTGCTTTATTTAAATGGCGAATATATTTTTTTAATGCAATTATAAGAACGTTATAAACTTATTGTAATTTATTTTGATAAATCGAAATTCATTTAAATCCAAGGTCAATGCAAATATCTACAACATAACAACAATAATATAAAAAGTGCTTTTGTTTTGATTTTCACTCGTAACTACGCAAAATGTCCAATTCTGATACTAAAAATTCGAGTGCATTAATAAATGCGATTATTATGGAAAATACACTGGAACCAAACCAAATCACAACAGATAATATAAATGAGAAAAAGGAGAAGAAAATAAATGACGTACATAAGAATAACTTCGAAGAACAATCTGCATTCATATCGGTTGAGCAGTCAATAACTTCTTCGCCCTATGCCACGTCCGATTCACAGAAACCGCGTTGGCTCTCCTCCCTGCACAGTGTTATTTTCATAATAACTTGTGCATTAGCCGTATTTATAGTTTTTCGAAACGTTTTGACATGGTAAGAATATGTTTCTATAAATAAAAATAATAATAAAAGTTCATATATTTTATTTATGAGTATTCATTCCATTAAATACAATTTCAACAAACCATTTTATGATAAGCATAAGAAAATCGTCATTCTACCATATATTCTACATGCACAAGTAGGAACACAAAATTCATAGATCCATTCCCATTTCCATTGATCTATCCCTAATAAAAATATTAGGGATTAAAGTTCAGATTGCGGCTTTGTTTTCCCTGATTAGATAACATGTATCGTTCATCGTTTCGTATTAAATTGATTTTTATCATCCGTTTTGCTGAAATAAACTAAATTTTTAATATAAACTATTGATGTCAATAGAGTGGTATTTCGAACAGTAAAAAATTACAATAAAATTTTATTATATATTAATTAATTGAATTTTTCGCTGCCCATATTGCTGTTTCGAGTATAGCCAAATACCCATCGTCAGTGATCTTAGAATTATTTCTTATGTTTAATAATTCTTTAGGATTTTTTTTTGAGACTGTAAAAACCAAAGGTTGAACTCGTGTCCTGCCAATTTTAAAGCTTAGAGTCAGTATACAGTAGCAAATGGACCTAAAGCCGTACTTGACTTATATGTTCGAACTTTTTGGAGTTTTATTAATTTGCTATGAAAGTTCATTACGAAATCATAAACCAGCTGTAGAATAATATTCAATTATCAATAGTTTCTTATTGGTACAATCTATAAAATAACAGAGAATATTGTAGATCAAAGAGCACTCCATAATGAAACAATCAATTAATTGTTAACATTATTTTGTTGTATAATTGTATATAAAACTTTTGAATAATATATAAAATATTTTTATATTTAAGACTACAAAAGCGTCATTAGATTTTTAATAGGGATTAATAGAGATGTTAAAAGACTTGTGAGTTTACGAGAATTGTTTTTTAAAGGTTGTCATTCTTATTTTAAATTTGTATATTGTTGGTGTGGTTCGTCGTAAACCATATCGACCATAAATAGTAGGAAATACACTTGAGTTATCGAATTAAAACTGGGTTATGGGATAATATTGATTTTTTCGATATATTTTGAAAAAATTGTTCATATCAAATATTTTAATGGAGTTAAAGCTCACATTTGAACTTGCATTTGGCACTTTAAATAATTCATCTAGTTTTAAAAGCATCCAGTTTTTATTTTGGAGCAAATTTGGTTTTGCCACTGGTTAATAGTTAAAAATATCAATTACATATAAGTCCAATTTCAAAAATTATCTGCCAAAACAATCAACTTGCGCACGACATTGTACTTCCCAAATTACTTGTATCAATTTATATAAGAGACGAGTAAAAACCGAGTGCGAATGATTGGTACATCCATTTATTGCGGTTCTGAAATTATAGTGGTAGAAATTATTTTTTTGTAATTTGTACAGTAATCAGTTTCTCTAATACTGATTTCCTAAACTCCTTCTGGAGCATAGGACCTCCAGTAGTCAGTATCTTAATATTTTGACTAGTCCACAAAATCTTATAATTTTGCCTATTCTACTAATAACAACAAAATAAAATGAAATTGGCCATGATTGCCTGTATTCTTAAGCAATTATTACGATTATCCAGTTGATCCAGTAAAATTAATCGAACTTATAGAAAATGAAATTGGCGATTATTGACTGAGTTCTCAAGCTATAATTAGTTGATCCAGTGAAAGTCCTTGACCTTATATCGAAAAAATTTAAAGATAACTCAAAATTTGTTGATTTTTAATCCAAAACCTGTAGCCTTCAAGTAAATTTCTGCCTAAGAGCTTAGGTTAGCTAAGGTTGGAGTGGTAGTCTTGCGCCTAAAGCCTACTTACGTTTAAATAATTGTAGGCCACACGCAGACCAGAAGAATCCCTAAAAGGACTGCAGTGGTTAGCGTAAGAATAATGCTGGCTAAAGACTTGGCTAAAGACTGGCTAAAGATTTCAGCATCTGTTAGGAAACAGATATTCTTAAGGATTTTTAAGAGAAAACGTAAATGTTTAATTTAAACCAATCTAGAAATTGTTCTCCTTTTTATAGTTTAATAATTTTAATTTTCATTGAGAATATCATAATTAACGACTAGTTTTCATATGTAATTGAAACTATTTGAAAGATAAAAGCCAAGAAAAAAGTTAGTACTAGTTGCTAAAAGTTCACTGTTAGCACGTAAAGTGATTACTCAAAACATTTTAGCTTATACTATAATTGAGCTAAAAACTCAGTTATGAACATTTTTATTCGAATATTGTGCAAGAAACAATCTCTTAAGAGCATTTTTGCAAGTTCAACGACAAGTAACACTCTTAACTCTCTTAGCTGTTTGCGAAAATAGTCCACTTTCTTTGTTACTTGTTACGCCACGCTCAGATTTTACGTTTCCATATGAAATGCTAAGATACATTTGAAAAAAAAGAAAAAAAAAATAACAATGAGCTTACATACCCGACTCGTACATTTACACACATTAGTATTCAAAGAGTTCGCATATAAATGAGGTTGTATCTTGAATTTTTATTTTTAAGCTTCTCTGTGTGTAGAACGTTTCAGTTCGGTTGAAATTGTTGTGTTTTAAAGATCGTTACAAAGTTTCACTTAATGCTCATAACCATTTATTACTGTTGTGGTCTTAGTTTTATAACAAAATAAATAATAAAAATATTAATATAAAATATATCTAAGTTATGGATAAATATAATCATATTTCTGTACTCCCTGTAAGGCATCTGCAAAGCTTTTGGGGCGCCTCCGGCAATTTTTGGCAATCGCAATGGGACAAGTTTATCCAAATAACTGGTAAGTCTGGAGGTATCTCAATGCAAAAATAATGTGCGAAAAATTAAAGTTCTAAATTTTATGTTTACGCATTTAAAAGTTTAGTTTATTAGCACTTTTATATTCTAATTATTTGTTCTTTACTTTTTACGCAAAGTATCTCTCATTAATTGAGATACTTTTTTGTTTACATATTTTCGCGTTCGTGGAAATGAATTTCAAGTGCAAAGATCGTTTGTCTGCGGAGCTTTTCTTTTTTGTTTGTATTGCGCGGTGTTCTGCTTTAATTGGTGACGGTCATGGTGACTTCAGTGTGGTCTTTCTGGCTTGCTGATGTTATCAATAGAGGTCGTTTGCCGATAGTACGAAAAATCGGTGCATTGGCACCCGGCAGTATAATTTTTAAATTCGCTTCTTTGTTATATTTTAATATTTTATAAAATTCAGCGATAAAAATGCTTACGAGCTTAGACCGCAGTGGGTCTCACTGGGTGTCAGTGCAATTTCAGAATTTACTATATTAAATGCTGGTGTTTACTTGCTGTACGTAGTATATTATTTTACTTTACTCTTGTTTACAAAAATAACTGAAACGCAAAAAATTTTTATTCACAAATAAATTTGTAATTTTGTATCTACAAGCATAGTATTTATTGTTTGTCGCAAGTGATTTCGTTTATGGTGCACAAGTGCATTTCTGCTTAGTCAGCCTTTTTGTTAACTCATTTTGTTTATTTATTGTATTTTACATATAATGATTATTATCATGTAGATAAAGAAATAGCTATTGTTCGTTTCATTTTTTATTTTAATTAATAGTTGTCTGGTCAAAAAAGATACACTGTAGCTATCAAAGTGACATTTCAATTTAAAAATATAATTTTAATCAATCTTATTTTCTTCCCTTAGCAGCGAGAAAAGCTTAAGTAGCAAAAGTACTAAAAATTTAAATGAACAAATAAATATATATTATTCCAATAAAAATAATATGTTCAAACTTATTTAATTATTTTACGAGAATGAATATATTCACGATTTGACCATAAGTGGCTATAAGTGGTCTCAATACTGACTTAAGTCGTCTTATTTTCTTCCCTTAGCAGCAAGAGAAGCTTAAGTAGCAAAAGTACTAAAAATTTAAATGAACAAATATATATTATTCCAATAAAAATAATATGTTCAAGCTTATTTAATTATTTTACGAGAAGGAATATATTCACGATTTGACCATAAGTGGCCATAAGTGGTCTCAATACTGACTTAAGTCGTCTTATTTTCTTCCCTTAGCAGCGAGAGAAGCTTAAGTAGCAAAAATAGTAAAAATTTAAATGATAAAATATATATTATTCCAATAAAAACAATATGTTCAAGCTTATTTAATTATTTTACGAGAATGAATATATTCACGATTTGACCATAAGTGGTCTCAATACTGACTTAAGTCATGGATAATTTGCTGACTTAATTCACACTTAAATCAGTTTTGAAACTCGTGTTATACTCTGTTCAGACAGCCAAATTTCCCTAATTTCGTGAAAAGGAAATTAAGTTAATTTCGAAAGTGTTCATACTGAGTTAAGTCATGGATAATTTGCTGACTTAATTCATACTTAAATTAGTTTTAAAACTTGTGTTATACTCTGTTCAGACAGCCAAATTTCCTTAATTTCATGAAAAGGAAATTAAGTTAATTTCGAAAGTGTTTATACTGCCCCAAATTAAGAAAATCATATGTTTTTTGTTTACAAATCAAATGTTAAAAGTCTATGAAATTTTAAAAGTTGATTATTATAACTATAAAGGATGGCATTTAGTAGTTTCATTAGCTTTAATGGATTTTTTTTCTTTTTGTACATTCAAATTTAAAAATTTGCGATGCTTTCAAAATATTTCCCGGTGTAACGAGTATTAAAGTCAACTGTCATTAGTTAAAATTTATCTTACGCTTAGTTGCATTTGAAAGGTCCTTTAATTTTAGCCTTGGTTTAAGGTTCGTTTTAACCTCAAAACTGAATTTTATAAATTTCGCTGAAACGAAGATGAAATTAAGATTTTTGCCAAATTAAGAAGTGTCTGAACATAGTATTACTAATATAAAACAAACAACAGTTTGATGTACTCTTGATTTTGGTTGGTTTTAGTGGCGGCAGAACTTACTCTTCTATCTAAGTAGCGCAATTGCACCGTTTTGTAACCACAAACTCTGTTTTAAGCATTTTAGTTATTAAAACCCAGATGCATGGTTGATAAAGGAGATTATATGGCATTTACAGATAAAGTACGAAGTTGTTTCTTTCACCTCTTTCTTCCCTGCAGTAGTGTATCTCTAAATGAAAAGAATACACAATTTTTGAGCAAGTGTGCTTTTTCGTCGGCACTGTAACGAGTTTTGCCACCTCTATCTTTATTCTAAGAAGAAGTGTGTTACAGTTCGATTTTTGAATTAGTTTTAATGAGATCAGCAGTTCTTTTTCTATTATGTTTTTTTAACCATAACTTTAAGAAAATTGTGTTTTTTTAGCTAGTTTATCCGCAATTTCATTCCCTTGTATTTCTGGGCGTCTTCATCGTTGGTATCAGAACTGATTATTATTTGTTCTTAAATGATATTTGGTTTGCAAGACTCCCAATCCAACTTAATCTGACCATAGTACTGTAACAAAAAATGTATATTCAATTTTAATATATATCAGTTTTTCTGATAAATGGCATTGATCATAGTATTTGTAAAAACCTGTTGAATTGCAACAGTTGTTTCGGATCACATAGTTGATTCGAGTCAACAACAAAAATATTGACATTTTCATTCTGATATTGGCTTGTCTAAATATCTAGGTGGGTCTAAATCTTATATTTCATGAATCTTAAATTAATGTTTGCACCTCCTGTCACTAATTGAGCTCAACAGACTGGCGCTCCGTCATCATCATAGGCACATAACCATTTCTGTGGCTACAATCCCATATCCTTAGTGTATTGCCGACATATTATCCACTGCTGAATTTAAGATTCAAATTCGCAAGCAGGTACAACGAACTCTCATATCCTCATATGCCTATCTTATATAATCGTACAACTCTATTATTAGGATCCAATCCGTTTTCATTTTCATATGGGTGCCATTGAACCAAATGTTTTAATTATGTTGAACCTAGTTGACTCAGTGCACTTGAGCACTTCTATTCTCTATTAACGGTGAGGTTTTTTCGATAACGCGGTATTGATAAGCTTGACATCTCTGAGGATGTCATTCGTCCTAATGTGCCATGGCACCTTGAAAAGTCTTCTCAGAGCTTGGCTTTGTGCAGTTTCTGGCTGGCGAATAGTAGTGCTTGAGGTATTGCTAAACGCTACACACCCATATAAAAGTGACAGACGAATTATTTGGTTATATATCAGCTTTTTGTTCTTAGCATTGAGATTTTCATTTTTGAATAGCAGTTGGAGGTGATGAAGAATTTTGGCACAGTTAAACATGTTTAAGCCATAGGAATCGTTTGTCCACCATGATGCCTAGATATTTAGTGCTATCCTCCTAGTTTATTACTATATCTCCCACTCTCACTCTCGACGAGTTCTGTCTCCTCTTAGAGTAATGTTAGAGTAGTAGTTTTATCTCCTAATTAGGAACAAGATCGTAGCGTGAAAGCCAAAATGTTTGTTTGTGGATGATTTAAGATAATTACAAGTAAAGAATAGTATAACGGTGATATGTCTCTTTAAACACAAATGTAATTTTTTCAGTTTGAAACTGAATTGTTTCATTTAAGTGTACTTTTTTTTCATTAATATAATAATTGTTGGTTGATTATGCAAATATTTTAATTATATCATAATTTCCTGCTCTATTAAAAGTAAAACTTAAAAAAAAAAGCTACCTTTACAACCTTACTTAACTTAATTCATAACATCTTTAAAATTGTTTTGATGTGTCTATATATAAATTATTTTAATTATACTTAAATCGTTATATTAATAAAACATTAATCTACAAATTTATACAATTTTTTTTTTGATTTTTAATTAAGTGTAAAAGTTTTTACATACAGACGTACATAAGCTTCCCATAGGTATTTTCGATATTTTTATAATGAACTTAACTCACATAGCACATTTATTTTATTAATCCATCTTTGTGTAAATTTTGTCCTTTAATTAACTTTACTAACTAAATAACTTTAATTAAATAACAATGTAAATTTTATTCTTTAACTTTACTAACTAAATAACTCCTTTAACTCTTTGTTCACTTGGTATCAGCTATATTCTGATCAATCCATGCACGTAACTTGTCCTTGTCTTGTAGGCCTACCATACGATTGATTACTTTGCCATTCTACAAAAATGTTTTATTTTTAATATTTTAACAAATATATATAGTATATATATAATCAAATGAACCTTCATAACTAATAGCACAGGAACAGTTCCAATATCATAATCTAAAGCTAGCTCACTATGCTCATCTATGTCGACCTTGGCTAATTCAACATCGCCTGCCATTTCGTCAATAATGGCTTCGATACGTGGTGTGAGCATTTTACAAGGATTACACCAACTATTTAAGAACATCAATTAAAATTAGGTATAGACATTATAAACATAAACGTTACGTTGCAAAAAAGTCCACGATTACAATCTTTTCATTTTTCTTGACTTTCTTATCGAAATCTTCCATGGTCTTAACCAGAAAGATTTCACGATTGATTGATGATAAACTTATACGACGTACTATATTGGCACGCCTAACAACCTCCAGAATAGGCCGAAGTTTTGCTGAGAACATTTTGCTATTTCGTGATTAAATAAAATTAATTTAGAAGAAAATATTTAAGTTTCAGATTGACTTGATATGTAAAACAAATCCTCGAAGAAATTTTTTTTATAAAATTAAATTGAAAACAAATTTCCAAGTCAAATTTTTTGTTGAAATTATTGAGTTCCTAAGATTGAATTATTTTAACATAATTTTAGAAAAAGGTTGATGTTAACCTTCTGAAGTCAAGGTTACTAGAATTTTTTAAGTGTTAATGGATTATTTTCCTTACATTTTTAAGATACTCTATTAACACTTTGTTAAATAACCGCGCATTGTGGTATTAAATTTTTAAAATTTTAATTTTTAATAATATTTTTATTTATAATAATTGTCAATTCCTTTTTTAAATTTTTTTTAAAAAAGATTAAAATAGATTTTTTAGTTGAAGTTCAAGTAAAACAAAGTTAGGTTAGGTTGGATAGGTAAGCAGCAAGACATCACGTTTAGATGGTTCTTCGCAATGGCAATTTGGAAAAAATCTACTACAAATGTTAACGTTAGATTAAAATATTTATAATGACGATTTAGTAGTTCAACAAGAAATTATGAGGACTAATACTGAATACCTTAAGTTAAGAAATAACCACTGCAAATACAGGTATACACACATAGGAGATATTTACCAGTATATTAAAAGTTACAATTAAAACGATTAAATTTTATAAATATTGAGTACCGAACTGTACATATATTCTCAAATACATAATATCTCTAATATGTAAGGATAATCATTTAACAGTTACGCTTCCAAACTGAAAATAGAGAGAATAAAAAATGGAACAGAGAGACATGTATTTTTTTATCTGTAGAATAGACTTTTATAGTACGAAAAATCGTCACGGGATTGTTGTTAACACAGATGATGGTTTTTCCTTGAAATCGTCAATTATTCTTGTCTCCGGTTTCAATTAAAATAATTTATACATTAGTAAATGCGAATTGAGATTTTATTTGAAAACCCCAATGATTCAATAAACTTTTAACCAAATTCATCAAAAAATTTGAATTAATTTCTTTGAGCCTTGGTTCGTGGAAAATATGTTCAAGATATTTAATTCATGAAGCATATGAGTTTTAAATTGTTTTCGAATTCTAATAATGAATATAAACCAAGGTAACTAAAATAAATTTATATATCTGCTGATTTCTATTATTTTAACTAAACTCTAAATATGCGTATGCCGGTTCAAACTCTGAAAAGAAGCAATAATATTAGTTAAAATTTTGAATAAATTATGAAAGGGTGCTGGACTCATCGGATAGTAGAATACTCTAATTAAACTAGATCTTTAATACAAACAATTGGAGCTTTAGAGTTAAAAAAACTGTAGAATCTGCGGGGAAAAAGAAAAGGGAATGACTTTAATGCAGAAATTTCTAGATCTACCCTAAGTTAAGCATCTCACTATGGCAACCTATGAACTAAAAGGATTGGCGGACACGAAAAACATAGATCTTAAAACAATAGTATTATTATCAGGTGCGTAGGTTGATTGTATTCTGATTGTAATATTACAACGTTTATTCACTATTTAAGCGGAATCTCGTACACCCTTAATATCAAATAACTAATAGTATTCATCTAAGGATATATATTATTTGAACTTAAAAAATTATTTTTTTATATGCAAAAAATTACTATGAAAAAAAATTGGGGTCCTTTCAGCTATGGAGTAACACAATTTTTTTACAAGCATAAGCTAGCTAGCTTATGGGTATTACGTTAAAATATAATGTACTATAAATACAATATTTTTTGATTTTCAAAAGCAAATTAATATTTTAATATTTATATTAGTCTTTGATTTATTCTTTATATCAATTAAATTGCTTTTTTTATTATGACTTGAATAAAGGCATGATACATAAGTTAGTCTATGCTAATATAGGTATCTGTATATTTTTAAACATTTGTTTTTTATAGCATTTTTTATTAACTATTAAAGTGGTTTTTGTGTTGATGCATTAATAATTTTATTTGGAACGGTATATGTATGTTTATTTAAAATTTTTCTAGGTGACGATCCAATGGTTCTTTGGGTTTTCGGTACCACAGCATTCATAATGTTAGTATATTGGTTTTTCGGCGGTATTTACACATTTATGGATCTGACAAATCGTCCAGCATTTCTCAGAAAGTATAAAATTCAACCAGGTACAAATGAACCAGTTGAAAAAGCACGTCTCATGAAAGTAATATCGCGCGTTATCAGCAATCAAATCTTTATTGGCATCCCAATGGCTTACTTAATGTACAAACTAATGGTATTACGGGGGTTAAGCTCGATAAGTGAATTGCCGACGTTTCATTGGGTTTGTGTAGAGTTGACAGTTTGCATTTTAATGGAGGAGCTTGGGTTTTATTATTCCCATCGTTTACTGCACAATAAGCACATCTATAAATTTATACATAAACAACATCATGAATGGACTGCACCAATCGCAGTAACTGCAATTTATTGCCACCCAATAGAACACATTTTTAGCAACCTATTACCGCCTTTCTTAGGAGTTTTTCTAATGGGCAGCCATGTAGCAACTGCTTGGATGTGGTTCGCTTTAGCAATATTATCAACACTAAATGCACATTCCGGTTATCATTTACCATTCTTTCCGAGTCCTGAAGCGCATGATTTTCACCACTTAAAGTAAGTTAATTTTAATGCTTTATTTATTATTAATTACAATGCTTTAATGTATTCACTTTCAGATTTAATAATTGCTTTGGAGTTTTGGGAGTTTTGGATCGTTTGCATGGTACAGACTCATTATTCAGAGCAACTAAATCTTATGCGCGTCATATTATGATGTTAAGTTTCGTACCTCCTCGAGAAGCATTTCCAGATTCTACCACGAAATAAAGAGAGAGCAATAAGAATTATTTATTAAAGGTTAAATTTATAGCTTTAATTTTGTTGTTTATCGAGAACACAATTTTATATTTTATGGAAAATAAAAAAATATATTGCAAAGAGCATTATTGCTTCAAAATTCAGCACTCCACAAACCTGGCGCATTCTAGAAAAAGCAAATCTTATGTACCACAAGTATTTACACTAAAATTGTCATACTATAGTTCTAGGTTCTGGTATTTTACTAAAATGTCTAACATTTTTTATATGTGATAGTATACATCAAAATCTCATTTATATGTATGTACGTTTATATGTGATTATTTACAGTTAATATATTTTGTATTTAGTATTTAAATTAACATTATACGATGAAAGCTGACACTTCAGCTAGACTTGTAAGAAACAGTGAATTGCTACTAGAATCATTTAAGAAACGAACTTTTCAATGCATCTACAAATATGAACACTTTAATCTTAACGAATAAGTATGTAAAATAAATATGTACAATATTAAATAATAAATATTGGAACTATTTTATAAGTAAGATTATGTCATTTTAATGACCAGTTATATACTGGTTACACTGTTTGTAAGTCTCTTTTTTTATAAAAATCTATAAAGCTCTTAATATAACTTTTAATGTAAAAGCGAAGAATTAGAGTCTCCTATACTCTTCTCTAAAATGAAGCTGAGTAATTTATTGGTTTTTACAAAAATTCAATGAATATATGAAAAATATATGAAAGATATTATAATAAATTAACGGAATGCTGATAATATTTAATCAATATGTACCAAGTATTAATAAACAATATTTTATTTGAGGAACAATGAATACTTAACACTGTAACAGAAGACTTCTTTTAAAACTTTTTAGATCAAGAATTTATTATAATGGTATGAAATTAAATCTTAATTACGATCACGATTTCTCGAACACTCCTTTTTGACTATGGATTTTAGCAAAGACAGCTATTTTGAATAAATCTTAAATCCATTACGCTCTATGCTAGTATAGCTTAGTTATCGAGTTATCAATTTACAGAGTTACACTCAACAATCAATGTACATGAAAACTCCAATATTAGCTATAGTTGAGCTCCCTATAGTTGAGCTCACAAGACGTCGCAGACTTAAAAGGACACGACCAGTGGACTTAATTTGATCTTAATTAAATTAATTTAATTATTAATATTTATAAATTTTATAGCTTTTATTTATATCTACTCCACAACTAATATGGCTTCCAGTTGTTGAACAGATAGTCCATAAACTTTTCCTTAACTTAACTGAATTTTAAAATATACTTAATGTCTTCAATAAATTAGACATTAAGTTCTAAAAAAAAAAATTACAGAGTTAAAAATGGAAACTACCAATAACAGTTATCTATCTATTTGTTGTCTCCCGTTGTTTGTCGTGTTACTTTTTCATTCTAGAGTTTATATTTCATCCACTTTTACTCGCTTTTGGAAGTGATTACTTGGGTTACTTGTGAAGTATAGATGTCATTTTAAATAAATTAATTGCTTTATAAATAAAAAAATTGCTTTATTATAAGATCAGACTTTAAAATTAGCTATTGAACCACTGGTGATAAAAGGATTAATAGTTTTTAACAAGCTTAGCTCTGAGAATTCACAGTATCAAAATCCTGAGGATCCTCTTTCTAATAAATTTTTTACTTTTTTAACTTTCATATCCTTGGTGATATTTGAATTTGTTACATTTTTTTGGGATATTTACGTCTTCTAAGAACTATATTTTCATATGATTGAAATTTGTTTACCGTAGTCGTGAACACTTCGCCAACCGGCAAGCCGCCTCAAAGTTAGCTTGGACTGATCTGTTCATATATTGGGAATTAGTCAATTTAAATACAATTTTCTTCTCCTTTATATGCTCATTGCAGAAGCATTTTTTATTAAAATTTAGTCCAATATATTTTACTTTGGATTTCCATTTGGATCTCTTTAATGGAAGAGTTATTTATCGGTAGTTATTTGGGATATTGATTTCTTTTTCTTGCGATAAATATGGCTTTGGTTTTTTCTGTACTACCTTTAATTATCAGTTGATAAATATAACATTATAATAACATCATCTATGGGTGTTGGAAAATTGTTTGTTATCTAGTTCCCGTTTTCTTCAGGGTTCATGATACAAATATTATCAGCAGATAAATATAATGTAATGCTGTCTATAATTAGAAAGTCAGCTTTTATAATATAGATTGTATAAGATTGGAGATACGGACCATCTTTATTTATAATTTTGATTTTAAAATTAGTAGAGTAATCCTAGTGGTGATAAATTTGACTATTTTATTTTGAATTTTGTAATATCCAAGTTTAATTTATAGTGCAGCATGCCACATTTCTTGAATGTTTGGAAATGTCACACATTCCTACGTCCGCTGACTAAGATTGGATTTTCCTTGTTGTGGAGTAGAAGTTTTCTATTTTGACTTTAAAATTTTTGTTATTAAGAAAACTGCTAATAAGTTTGACTAGGTTATTTCCAACTCTGTATTATATAAATTTAATTATTAGTCCAGTACGCTATACTTCATTGATTGTTTAGAAATGTCACACATTGCTATACCTACTAAGTTCCTCTTACTTAAAGCATTTACATCTTTTGCGAAACCAAAACCAAATGTAGTTCAGTTGTTTAATTTTTAATGATTCTAAATTTCTGTACTGTAGTTTTCTTTTTAATGTAAATTATGTATGTAATTTGTGTTAGTATAATCGATGTAAAAAGTAAACAAGTGTGAATTTCACTATCTCGAGAAGAACGCTACATAGACATATAGCGAAGTGGAATAGCTGACCCTACTAAAATCAGTTGTTAAATCTTCAAATCGAAATCGTTTGTATTATTAAAAACAGGTTTATCTACTAAAAGTTTGCATTAAAACTCAAATATATTGAACATTTAAAGGAATCGTTTCAAAAAAGCTAATCTTTCTCATCAATAGAGAACATCTGTTAGGCAAAAAATATTTAAAGCAAAAACGCAAAATTTTGTATTGTTTATTGTTCAAGTACCTAACTGGCACTAATTATGGTATTGGTACCGGTACTCGTACCCCACCAGTGCAATTTCTTTAGGTAAGAAAAACCGAACTAATCCGAACTGCACTAATCTAAAGTGAACACTTCAAAATATCTATTTATATTTTTATATTTATATTTATTTCAATATTCATATATATATATATATATATTTTAACGTAATAAATGCATATAAACCATTTGAGATAATATTTTTTTAAATTTTATTGCTTATCTCTATACCAATAAATTATTGTGTTATTGAACTTTGAACTTCATAAGTGCTAGAAATAATTCTATAAAAAACAAATACTAAATTACTACTATTAGATAATATTATATTTAGTTTGATTTAAAATTAAATTTATAAAAATATAAACAAATTTCTAATGATAATATTTCTTACTAATCATTAATGATGAGACATACCTAGTATGGATTGCACAATATCGTTTTTAAAATGTTTTCCTGCTCTGGCGTTGCCTTAGCTTTAATACACTTTATCCAAATTATTAGATTTACACGATTTTCTAAATTATTTGTAATACAGAGTAGGAGATAACCACTGTAAGTATGTAGCTTTATTTGAGGATCATAATCAATCCAAGCCCTTAGAAATTAAGAACACACTTACGTTTGATACAATAATAATAAGCTTTTTTGTAATAAAGTAATATCTTATTGATCTTAGACGTTATGTTTAAAATTAGAACCTTAGATAGCGATTATTCCAGTGTTAACAACATCACCTTTTGTGCCAATAAAATTATTATCAATTTAATTTTCAAAGGTTACTTAAAGATTGACTACACGACAGTTTCATTTTTTATTCCAACTAAGCTGCTGTTGGAAAACACATATCAAAAATAAAATTTTTAAAAATTTGGTCATCTCAGGAATATCGTTTCATGCACTTCTTAGTTTGGCAGAAATGCATACTACAATCTACAGAGTAAAATCTATAGCTATACTTGATATCGCCAACGATGAATAGGTCTACGTGTAGTTCACACATAGCGTAACTTAATAATTTAAAACAGGGCTCTCCAGGCTAATACTATAGCGGGCCAATACGAACACTGTGCAGATTGGAGGGTCGCAAAAACAAGTACATACGTCTATGGATTTTTTGGAGAAAATAAGAATATGGTTGTAATGTTAAAATTAGTTTTATTAATTTATTCATTTTATTTCACTTTTTTGAAATACTATAAAAATAAAATTTTTATAAAAATTTGCGTAATTATGGTAAATTACATACATGTCGCGGGCCGCACATACATATATTATCCGCGGTTCGCTTGTGGCCCGTGGGCTTTGCTTTGGATAGCCCTGATTTAGAAGTTATTTAATGAATTTATTTATTTATTTGTCTTTAAAAAGTTAATCAAGGAATGATTTGAATTTGCCGCATCTATTTCTGTTGGCATGAGAGAAAAATATGTGCTTATGTTCCATATTCATATATATATGGTATAATATACATATAAATGCTTAGCTTATTATTATCAGCATATGTATCAAGTAAAAAATATTGTATTTTTAAATCACTAAACAATAGAAATACTCTCTAAATCCGGCTATGCTGAAATATATAATCATTTTTGTCTTGCTCATATCTCCTACTTTTGTAATAATGCGATTAAGAAGTTGGATTTAAGTGGCGATTAGTAAAATTTGCTGTAAACAAAAATCCAATAGAACTATTTTTAAATATTTCTCGATAACAACCAGGTTTTTTTTTGCAATATCAAGAAATTGAGATAAGCTTCACTCATAATTCTAGCACGTATATAAAGATTACTTCGGTTTAGTCTTATAAGCACCATGGAGAGCAAACAATTGAAGCAAATAAGCATTGGGTGGCGTAATTTAGGCGAAAGTTTGGAAATAGGATGGAATAAATTGTTGGATGCAACGAGTATATACAATTTCTGCAATACATACTTCTTTATATACTCATTATTAAAATGCATATACCATTGCAGGTGATGATCCTATGTTATTATGGGTTTTTGGTTCAACAATAGTTGTCTTTACTACCTACTGGTTGTATGCTGCGTTTTTCACTATAATGGATATTACAAATCGACCTACATTTTTGCGTAAATATAAAATACAACCGGGACAAAATGAACCAGTGGATCAAAAAAGGCTTATAAATGTATGTAGTGAATGTGTTATATTTCTTGGAACATCAACTAATATTACTGTACTAATTATTGTGTTTATACAATTTAGGCTATAAAAGTTGTATTGATCAACCAAACAGTTATAAGCACACCAATATTTTATTTACTTTATAAGAGTGTACAATCATATCAACATTTAATACCAGTACGCGAGCTTCCCACTTTTAAGAAATTTGTATTTGATATGGCTGTGATAACCATTTTGGAGGAATTTATGTTTTACTATGCTCATCGGTTATTACATCACAAATCTATTTACAAATACGTACACAAGAAACATCACGAATGGACGGCGCCTATAGCAGCTATAACTTTCTATTGTAACCCAATTGAGCATATTGCAAGTAATCTTCTTCCGGTGGTCGTCGCAATAGGTCTATTAAAATCCCATATATCAACTGCTTGGTTATTTACTGCACTAGCAATTATTAATGCTATGAGTGATCACACCGGCTATAGTTTTCCATTTTCAGCAAAATCAGTACGCTTTCACGATTTGCACCATGAAAAGTAAGTAATTTTATAAAAAATGTTGTTAACGTTTATTTTTTTATTATTGTTTTTAGATTTAATTACAATTATGGTGTATTTGGATGGTTGGACAAGTTACATGGTACTTACAGAGAATCGTGTCCAAGCAAATTGGGTGCAAAATTCAAAAAGCATAAGCAATAAAAGTTTGAAAGATGTTTATATGTAGTTAAATTTATTTTTTATTAAATGGAAACAACTATTTAAATGCTTTTTATCATTTTTTTACCCTTAGATAACATATAGAATTATTTGTGAGTCCATGTATAAAAAATATATTGTTATACAGTTTAACAATCAACGAATTTATCTTGTATATAAATTTTCAAGAAATACATTACATTACTGCTTCATAAGATAAAAATATATTTAGTAAACTCTAAGATTTAAAACGCGTTACTATACTACAAGAAAAAAATCCAGCTATTTTTAAAATAAAATATTGATTTTTTTAAAAAGATTTCCCTTCCACTTATTGAATTAAAACTATATATTTATCTCAAACACCTGTGCTAGCGTTCCGCGAAATACATGCCACATTTAGATTTAGTACTTTAAACCCAGTGAAAAATAAATTATCACATTAATGTTACAGTTAAATGATAAATATTTTTATTAATTAATATTAAATAATTAATCAAAGTCAAATTGAAATCCTCGATCCACATAACTTAAACCTCTTTCGGAATCTGGTGGAAAATCCGCCGACAAATGAATGTACTTTTGCTGAACCCAAAAATTTATATTCTAGAAATAAATAATATTTTTGTAGTATTATTATAAAATAAAATATAAATATTATAAAGCAAAAAAGGTTACTACTTTTTTAGTAGTAAGCTTTATTTTGGCTATTAAACAAATAAATTTATAGTCTAGAAATAAACTATATATATAATAATAAACTATATATATATAATAATAAACTATATATATAATAATAAACTATATATTTATAATAATAAAACTTACTACATTTTCAATTTCATCTTCCAAACCACTTAACAGGTAATACACATTTATGGTTCTATGTTTATGCTGTTTGAGCAATTCAACTGCATCATACAGAAATGATTTATCCAAATTTTTACAGTAGCTTACATCTATGTGCTGTAGATTTGGACATAGTTCAATAAATCTTAATAGCACATCTTTAGATAGTAACGACCAATTGCGTAAACAAAGTAATTTTAAATTCTTCATTTTTGTGTACTTTTCAAGTGCCGTCGATTCAAAGCTTGAATTACAAAATGCAAAATATTCAAGTTTACAATGTTTAAAAATATCTAAATTGTCATCCCAATCTTCCTTCAAAGGCATAAAATAGTTATCTATGCTAATACCCGTAATCCTTTCACTTTCTGTATTTAATATATAGTAAAACTCCTTGGTTTGATAAATTTTAGTACTAAATGTATCTGGACTTTGTATGCTTGATGCATTAACAATGAAATCTAATAATACTGTAACTGTTTTCAACTTCGGTAGCTTTAAGACATCACATACAATTGTTTTTAGTACGCTTAGGTTAAGCTTTAAAACTTCCAAATTTTTGCAGTATTCTATATGCGTCAAAGATAAATGGCTTGCATTAAAAGTACGTATATCCAAAATTCGTAGCTGCTTTAGCTCCACACATATATCCTTTAAATAATTAGCACTTATTTCCAATTCCTTTTCTTGTTCGTCATACAGATGTAATTCTTCTAGATATTTAAAATTGGTCAAAAATCTACCGGTTATAGGTGCTGTTAATCGTAAATATTTCAAATTAGGTAAAAGATTTGTTAAGTTAAATATATCACAGTCATTTGGATAACAATCAACAAAATCTGACAAATCGCAACGTTCAACGCTCGGCAAACATGTAATATTCCATTCCTCCAGATCTTTAAGGGTTTCACTGAGACAGTCTTCGGTTATTACAAATTCCTTAAAATAAAATTGCATTACATGCAAAAAGTATTGCAAATCTTCAATTTTTGGGAAAATGCTACGCCACTCATTTAATTCCAGAATTCGGTAGTTTGAATTGGCATTCCAAATGCGCGTGTAAATGTTTTGAAAACGTGTACATACTCTGGAAATCTTTAGTTGATCTGGCAGGTACACTATTTTACGAAATATATAATCCAAGCAATCATCATTGAGATCATATAAAGATGCTGTGAAAGATTAAAATTTTATTTGATTTTTAAAGTGTTTGTTTCATTTTTTATTTACTTACGAATTTCGTTCTGCATTTCTTCTTTCTATTATGTTTGTACTCTTGTGTTTTATGCCTTACGAGGCGAATAATATATATTTTGTGCCGTTATTTATAAAGCAATAATTACAATAATTATCTTAATGAATAAGATTCACAAAAAATAAATTTAGCAACTCAATTTTGCAACGCTGTCAACAACAGCTGATTTTTGAATGAATGATGCCACATGTTACTCCTATGTTCTAAATGCTACAACGACTTAAGTTATAAATTTATATTATAAATTTATTCATGGTCGAGTATTCAGACATGGTCAGTAATTACTGAATTATTTGTACTGTATTTGTACTGCACTGCACTTCTGTAAATATTTATTTATTTATTCATTGCACTTATTTATTATTTTTGGCTAAAAGCTTTCAAATTTATTTATTTATTTTAAACATCTTATAAAATTTTAACAATGGTAACACCTAATTTATCCTACTCGAAATTCTGGTAAATATCAACATATGTCAGAACCATTTGAAACTTTTTAGTGAGCTTGTATTGGTGTAGAAAAAATTCACTCAATAATATACTTCACAAAAAATTTAATATATAATTGATATAGTAAATCATTTATATATATATATTTATTTTAGAGATTTATTACATATTTAATTAATAAAAACAAAGATTTTATTAAATACTTACTCAGCTCAGCTGTTGTTCGTTTATATTTTTCATATAAAACATATGACAGATATTTCAAATGTTGGTAATTTTTATTGAGCGAAATTTAGTTTCAAGGGTTACATCATTGAGTATATATATTATAGAGTAGAAATCTGAAAACAAACTCAATTTGCTAAGTAGACCTGTGGGGGCGCGGGTAACAATGTTACATGAATTAGAGAGCACAATGAATTTTTCTACAACGCTCTATAACATAGTGAGCACGTGCATGTAAGTTTTTTGTTATAATTTTGTTTCCTTGTACTCTATTTTGTACCCTTGTGTATTTTTATTTCATTGAAACTAAATATCACTTTTCAGCACCAAATTTAAATAGAGGAATATATTCTATTTTATGGTCATAGGCATAGGCATATGAACATATTATTATTTTTGTTTCAGAACTTCCTAGAAATAAAGGGTACTCATGTTTTTTTTAATGAATTTTATTAGTTTTGGGTTTATTCTCATATATTCCTTACATTCCCATATATATATATACATATATACGTATATATAATATACGTAGAGAAATAGATTTTTGGCCCCAAATACGGAAAGAAGATGAGGTTGTAACTGCACCATCAGAATTGGTTAAACATTTTTATATTTATTCTTTTTATTTATTTATTTATTAACACATGAAGCTCATAATATATACATACATACATATGTGTATACTGAAGCAATTAGTAAGCCTTTACATATACATACATATTTTTAAAAACAGTTTTAAATCAGAATCAAAACAATAAAAATAATAGTAGCATTGTTTCTGATATGAAACAAAAAAAAACCAATCTTCTTTTTACGCTTACAATTTCTTAATATTGGATGCAAAATTAATACAAACATACCTACTTGCTGAGAAATAGAAAAGAAATATGTAAACATATACAGTGATGAACAAAATTATTGGCACAGCAAGCAAATTGAACTTTTGCACCATTTTTATCCTGTCAATAATGCGATTTTTAATAGTTCAATTTGCTTACTGTGCCAATAATTTTGTTCGTTACTGTATGTATGCTAGTAAAGTGCACATGCAATATGAAAGCACACAAAAAGACTAGAGTAATATTTTTTTCCTACATATACCTTCCTAATAAATTCGCAGAAGCACTGATCAATATAACAAACGACGAAAAAAGTTATTTGAGAGAATCGTCTTTACTTTAATTTCCAAAGCAATTCAGAAAACAAGACATGAAGAGAATGGAGTGTTTTTTGAGTGCAAAAAGGTTGCCAGCAGCAGCAACCTCATACAAAAATTTGCTTGTACGAGATTGCTACTCTATAATATTTATACTCAATGGTTACATTCTACTTAAATGAGCTGTTTTAATGATCAGCTCATTTATATGAAAGCATTTTGTATGGAAAATTATCCTTATTAGTGGTTGTAATGAGTAAAACCGTTTAAATGAGATAGTATAAATGATTATTAAAGAGGATACAATTATGTATGGACGATAACGCAACTTCCTTTGGAACATTATATATATTGCAATTAATCTACAACAATTGCATGACATTAATTGTTATTTGTATTTCGTTACCTGCATTTATTTGCATAAATACCATTAACTGCAATGGTGCAGCTTGAACAGGCTATAAACAGAGAAACAGATACTTAGCAAACATGATCCGAATGTAAGCACCAAATTTCAACAATGCAATATGTGTATTTAATGGAAGAAACTTTTCTGTGACGTATTAAATCACAACAGAATGTTGGTTGATTAAGAAATCAATCATCAATCATTTAAACCCAATCACTTGAGTTGAAGCAAAAATATTTCGAAATCAAGTTATGCTATGACATTTGAACTTTTTTATCTAAACATTCATAGAAATATTATTAGACTTTTTTCCAATACTGGAAAAACAGCTGATTGCGCAAATACTCGTACTTCGCAAAAGTGTAGTCGTAAAAATAGTCAAAATTAAAAATAGAAACTAATTGAATATATAAAAAATAGATGTGAAGAATCAAATTGATTTAGTTTATAAAAAATGCATTATAAAATTCTTTTCTTCACTTTTGTGTATTCTTTATCAATTGTAACAGGTCAGATAATCTCGCCGAATGCAGTGAACACAAATAATGAAACTAAAGGACTAAAACAGGGCGACAGCCCCAGTCTTCAAATAGAGCTTAGTAATGACACTAATGTACCTATTGAATCGCATAAGCCACGTATCCGCAAAGTTTCAGACACCAGCGATTCAAAACCATCTAAAGATTTATTAAATTCAACAGCTACTGGTGTCTCCCAGCAAACCAAAATTGTTGCTGAAAATGTGGTAATAAATGTGCCAACTAATTTAACATCTAAAACACCAGTCATTAATTCTACACAAATCGAGGCCAGTGTTGAAAATGTTAAGGAAGATGTAGTCAAAATTGCTCAACCAAATGTAACAACAACATTACATGCAGAAAATACTACAAGCAATAGCAATGTATCTACAACAGCAATAAATAAGCCGACATTAGTCACCGTAAGTAACAATGGAACATCAAAAACATCTGCAGATACAACACCAAAATCAGTCATCACAATAACTAACAGTACTGCAAAGCCGACAACTCCTACTACTACAACAACTTCCACAACAAGCACTACAACAACTACCACAACAAGCACCACCACTACAACAACAACAACGACAACTACGCCTAAACCGAAGAAACCTACTATTACTTATGGAGTAGAAGATTTTCCAGATTTAGATGGCAATTTAATTAAATTAAATGAGGCCTTGCAGCAACAATCAACGACATTACCAGAAACTTCACCTGTTCGTGAGATACCAAATGCTCAACCATCGAAAGAAATGAATGGATTCCAAATTAATCATAGTCGTGATTATATAGTGCCAATTGTTACACTACTCTTTATTTTGCCTCTAGTACTAGGTGTGATGATAACGGCATACAGACGCTTTAAAGACTTTTGGTCAACCCGTCACTATCGTCGCATGGACTTTCTTGTTGATGGCATGTACAATGACTGACAGCTTAGAACGGTTGAAGGCAGGGATTGGGCTGATGCAAACTTAGAGGAGGCATTTAAAATTGCTTAGCAATTAGTAAATGTTGAAAACTTTTAGAATCGTTGTGAGGGGGGTGATAACTAATAATTTATCGTAAAGCAAAATATGTTTCGAGTGAGATTGATTTACCTATATCTATTTATACATATAAATTATTTGATTTTTGAGTTTAGTTTGTTTTTTTTTTTTGGCATTTTTAAAATGCAATGGCTGCATGGTCAATTACTTGCATTAGGTGCGCATATTTTGTTTTTACTAAATTTGTGGCCAAATATCTATTTTATAAGTAATAGCATAATATATGGAGTGTTTTTTCCAATATTATGTCATATACAATAACTTTTCCTTTTGTTTAACTGAAACACAAAACAATTCGAATTTTTAAAATTACTTGAAAAAAATGCATATACGTAATAATAATCTGGAACAGCGTTAAAAATTATAGTAACATAGAATCTGTATTATTAAGGATACTCGTATAGGTTAAGCACTTTTAAATCGAAATTATTTTACCAAGACAATATGTATTAATAAATTAACATTAACACGATACCAATTAATAAAACTTTATACGTAAAAATTTTAAGTGCCTTAAGAAGTTAAAATTAATTCTTTTGGTATTTTCAGTTATAAGGATTACACTAAAATATATTAAAATGTAAGTTACATACAATAAAGAAATAAAGCAATTTTAATTAAACGTTATATATGATATTCGTTATTAATAATTTATTATTATTATTATGTTTAGGCTAGTTGAATCATTTCACTTGAGTACTTTTACTTTCTATTAACTGCGACGTTTCTTCATAATCCCTCTCTACGCCTTGACTGGATTATTGTTTATCACTACATCAGACTAAGCAATAACTGACCTCAGATCTGCACACCTCCCCGAGGAGCCTGTAATCATTCTGAGATTCGATAACGCGGTGTTGGTAAGGTTGTCAGTTTTCGTTAATAGTTTCAGGGCTCCATCCTTTATCTATTAGTTTTAGATTTTATAATTTCAATAAACGAATATTTAACGACGATGTGAACAGCAACAAATGTGGCGTTATTTATGGTTTTTTTTTTTTTAAAATATGTATCTAGACTTCAGCATTGAGTGTCTAAGAAATTTATCTGAGTGATCTATCGGTAATTTTCAAATGACACCAATAGTCTTTACGTTTAAATCTTATTAAAAATTACGGTTTTTATAAAAAGCTAATGGTAACCTTCCGAATATTTCGTTTGCGCATCAGTAAATGATTTCTACCAACTTTAGTTTGATTCATTCTTATAGTTAATTTCATTTCTCCTAAATGCAGATGTATTTAGAAAAACACAGAAATAGCATGTTAAAACGAATACATGGGTTAGTGTGATTGTTTAAAGGTAGAATGAGAAGAAGAAGGGTAATTATGGAATATAGGAAAGGATTAGAAAGTTAGTGGGTCATTAATTGAAAATAGTCTAAGTCGAAGTGAAAAAACCAGGCCACTTCAAGGGATCGGAATAGGGTTAGACAATGGCATAGTAGAACTACAGTTGGAGTACTCATTGGGAATGAAAGGGAATGTATTTACAATTCATGTGTTATTGGTATTTGTTTGGCAAAAATTGACTTAAGATTTTAAATAGTTTTGTAGGGGATCATGGGTCAATTTACGATATAACGAAAAAGGAGTACAATTTTTTTTTTGTATCTGAAGTAACCTCCATATAGACAGAACCATGAATAGGAAAGACGATAATGACAACATCAGCTCCAGCACTTTATTGTATATTTATCGTTTATCATTTAGAACAAAATTTGTAAACAAATTTCAGTATAAAAAAGCGCCTTACATATTTCTGAAGAGCAGGTGTAACATTAAACCTCCATGTGAAGGTGTTTTGGACAGCACTGGTCTAGATGAAAAAAATTGAAGGCTATATACTGAAATTTGAAATATTTGAAATTTCCTGGGCTATATGAATCCAGGAAAATATCAAATTAATTTAATTTTGCTAAAAAGCTTGATAGCCATTAGAGATATTTTGAAAATTGTTTATGGACTTATAACATATTCCTTTTTTTATTATTCACAGCATTGATGTGTAACTGATAATCAATATTGAAAGAATATATGTACAAAAATTTGGGGATAAACACATATAAAATAAGTTATTCATACATTTCCCAATGTTACTTTAAGATAAATACTGTCAAATTAACAATAACAAATCAAACTATTACAAGATATAATAAAGTTTTCAATTGTGTACCCTACATTCGCTGTATCAGCATAGTATAATGCAGTGGATCAAATATCTCATAATGAAAGCTTTTTTACGATAATATATGTCGATTATAGTAGTAAATTATGTTATGCGACATATAACAATATTTGCAGGTTATTATGGAGATTTATTTTTATGAGAATAATACAAATAAAAAAAAATTCTTACATAAACTATAAAAAATGTTATTTCGTGCGGTATTCTAGTCCGTATTATCGTCTACTACGAGGTATGAGAATTTACTGCAAAATTAATAATTCCTAAGCGCTATTATTGCAAAATTAAAGCTCAAGCGGAAGAAGAGTCTGTTTTTTTATATTTTTGGAAATGTGAGATATCTAAAAATCATTCAATCATATAATTCTGTTCTTTAATATTTATTCTTATTCTTAGGAGAGAGATATTAAGGGTAATTTCTTTTTTAATTTTTCCTCCCAGTAACAGAAAGAAACCAATTACATCAAGACTTCCGTTCGACTTTGTTCCTCAATTTTTTCTATAACATCACAGTGTACAAGAAACTCTTTCTTTTTTAAATGTTCGATTCTAGTTACAGATAAACCCCGAATACTTTAAACTTTTATAGTTTGCTTCTTTATTTGTACAACATCGTCTCATTGCATTTGCTGTACAAAGTATCCAGAATCATTAAATAAAACATCATCATTAAATTTATTTTGTCGATTATGCATGTGCTTAACTCAACTCTTCATATATTGATTAAGATATAATGGCTAATGGTCACAAACTTCTTAAAGCGTCTTCCTAAAGTGAGAAATTGTGAATGTTGAGCACAAAAAAAATCAGACGAAACCATGAAAGGCTACTTGCCTTACATTTTTAAAAGTACTTGTCAGTACTTAAATACTGGATATTTTTTTTATATTATATATAAACATTGTTTTTTATACAAAAGAAAAATTATTTAATCCTCGACGTGGTGTCTCTTAGACGCGTTTTTCAAATTTTAAAGTCAGGAAATTTTGTACACTAACATAAATGTTTATTAGGTTTTTTCGTAAAAGCCCTATAAAAATCCATATCTGGGTAAATGCAAAATTGAAATTAATGTTTTCTTTCTACACTTTTTTTTTAAACTAAAAAGTCCTTAATAAATTAAAGCGTATTTTGAAAAACAATACTCTATAGATTTATAACATATATTATATAAAGAAGTGTATTTATAAATTATCTTTATTTCTACATAATAATAAAATGTAATAATTTTTAAGTATTACGTTTCTAGATTAGGTTCTATACATAAAAAGGAATATATAAATCATGACAAACAGAATAGTATTGAAATTTAGCAATAAAAAAAATATATATTTAATTAAGTCAATTATTCTACAGCTGGTTTATGATTTCGTTCTTATATAAACGCAGCAAGTGAAATTGTTAATAAAACTTTCACCACAAATTAACAAAACTTCAGAAAAATGTGCAAACATGAAAGTCAACTAAGGCTTTGGGTCAGTTTGTTAAGGAGCGCTGACTCTGAATTGAAATTTAGCAGGGCACGAGTCCGATTCCTGATAGTTGCAATCTCGAAAAATTATTTATAAATAATTAAATACAAGAATTATTTCCAAGACCACTGATGATGGGTATTTGACAATATTCGAAACAGCAATATGGTCAGCCAAAGAATCAACTAATTAAAATAATAAGATTCAAATAATTAAAATAGTTAAGATTGCTATTCATGTCATATATATATATATATTTGAAATTCTATATATATATATAGAATTTCATATCAATTTTTTATACGAAATGGATATTAGTTATATTATTTTTATTTTCATATTATTTTATTTTTATTCCCGAAATAAGTACTAGGCTTTAATGCTAATTTTTATTAATATTTAATTCCTTTGAGTTGAAGGCAACTTTAAAAGTTTAAGTTAATTACTTAATTAATTATTTATTTGAGTTAATGATGTGGGGATTTTTTTACATATATTTCAATGAAATTATTGCTTCCCATAATTAGTAAATAATTAAACCAAAATTAAAAATTTCTTTATTATAAATATGTATTATATATTTACAATATTATATTATACTTACAATATTATAAATATAAACCTAACTTTATTATAAAGTACTAAATAAATATGTACATATGTATATTATTTCAGAAATTTCCGACATTATTTTAATGTATAAAGTCTTAAACGCGAACACCATATGAAATATTTTTCAATTTATCTAAAATCAATAAAACTATATAGATTTATATACCACTGAGAACGCGTGTTATTGTATAGAAAAATCTTTCAGTCTGGTTAGCTGCTGGAACGCTACGTACTAAATATGAAAAAAAAAACTCAATAGAAATGCCCAAAAATAAATTATGTTGTGTTCTTTTATGTTTTCATTTTGGTTCTGATTTTATAAACAAAACAACTTTTAAATAAAAGAAAAAAGTAATAAAAGAGTTCATTTGCTGAAAATATTGCTTTCTGTTTAAATTTACCTTATCGAATAAGAATGTGAAAATTTGAAAAAATCCGCTGAATTATTCAGTTGATGTTTTTGCTTTGCTTAATTAGGAACAAAATTCTCGGGAACAGCAGACGTCTGCTTTCAGTTGAACGGTGTTCGTAAATTCTTTACTTAGTGTATTATTATTGAAAAATGGATTCTTCTGTGCAACATCAACGTGCACGTTTTAACCAGCCGCCAACTTTGATAACTACCACCCATCCCACTACGGATATACGTGCCCATACAATTTCAATACCGGCGCCACAAGGATCGAATACCTATCAGGGGCTAAAAACATGTGAGTGGTTTGCGTGAAAAAATTTTAAAAAATTAATAGTACTAAAAATAAAAGATAAACTTCAGTTACAACGCCTGAAATCGGATAAATATAAATGTAGACATATTGGCTACATACAGGATGCCTATATCCAGTATGTTTATATCTCTATAAGGATATAACAAATATGTGAAAAATTCTAAACGAGATTTGGTTAATATTAAAAAAAAATTGCTTATAAAATGTGATAAATAATTTCTTTAATTAATTAAAAAAAAACAGAATATATACTAATTAATTAAAAACTGGATACCTACTAGCAGTTTATATCTCTATAAGGATATAACAAATATGTGAAAAATCCAAAACGAGATTTGGTTAATATTGAAAAAAAATTGCTTATAAAATGTGATAAATAACTTCTTTAATTAATTAAAAAAACAGAATATATACTATTAAATTAAAAACTTGCCTACGAAAACAAAAGATCTGTGAGGGTGTTAGAACTGCTGTTCTGCTAATAATAATAATAATGTCCTGCTGTCCTATAATAATTATAAATATAATGTAATAATTATAATATAACAATTATAACAAAATAGTTAACATCTCAAATTGCACTCTTTCAAGATTAAATTTCAGTTTAAAACATCTTTTTTATTTAATTAATTCTATAACTTATCAGTACTTTAATAAAATTATTAAAACCAAAAATTTCCGTAAAAAATTTCCGTTATTACATTAAATAAGCTCCAGAGATATACAGAAAAAGTGGATTTTGTTCAACTTTGGGAAAACACATCTTTTATAAATACCATTGCTAATAATGTTAATCATCTTTATTTAATGATGTTCTTATTTTTAAATAATTATATACAAAATATTTTAATATCTACTGTTTTGTTTACAAACAAAAAATTAATTGTTTAAACATTTCAATGCCACCACCATTTGTTTTCTTACATATCAGAAAAGAAATAAAATCTATTCACTTATTCAACTATAATAGTTCATACAGAATAATCCCAGTCTTATATATTGTTGAACATCTAATTTAACAATTTATATGTGTTATAACCCCATTAGTAACTCCTTTAATACTTGAATATTCAGAACAATTATATGCTGTTAAACATCTAGCTGCTTAGATGTGTTGGGACTTATTAACAACTCTTTTAATATTTGCCCATTTAGAGCAAACATAGGTTTAAAACTAACATTAAAAGTAGTATTCAATACAGGATTTAGTATGAAATTAATAATCTTGTATATAGAGCAGAATAGTTATAACAGCTAATCATATGAATAGCGATTAAATAATTAATTATTTCGATCATAATGACTTGATTGTGCTTTTAGCTATGATTACTGTGTCATCAGCAAAGGTTGCGGTGTGCGATGTACATTAACATATATATGTAAATATTCCAGTATAGGTACATACTGTAGCTGATGTTTATCCCCATGAAAAAAAAGCTCAAATAATCCTGTGGTAAGGCATGCCTATTGTAAGAAACGACAAAAATCCAGTATGCATTAGCCATTATTGTTTGGAGTTTAAACGTTCGGAGTAAATGAGTTTCACTTGCAGCACCCGACCAGAAGTGTAAATTTGGCACCACAGCTTTGGCTACCCTGGCTAATTGAGGTTGGGCCATTTAATAGAAGCATTGTTGTGGGCGTAGTTAAACCCCAAAACTGTGTTCATTATTTTTATTCAAAATTGTGTTGCATTTTCCAATAGCAGAAGCCCTCGCGCCTTCCCTTCAATTCTTGGTTGGGAGTTCACCATAAACTTAAAACATCTAATAAAATAGAGTAAAAATTAGTGATGAAACAACAACATTTTAATTTAAATTTATTTGAATTTTTCAATTGTTTTAATTATTGGATGTTTTAGAACTTTGAACCTTTCAAATCAGAAGCCACGCTTTTCAGATTTCAAGCTTTGTCAATTTAGAAGACAATAATACGAACATTTCCATAATAAAAGCTGGAATGTCAGAGAGGAGTGTACTAGGTCCAACCCTTAACACACTGTTCTCAGCTGTTGATGAATTATCACTTAATCCAACAACGCACATCGCAAACTTTGCTGATGACACAGTGATCATAGCTAAAAGCGAAGATTTAACAGTCGGTACTAGTTAGTTGCAAACAAATCTAAACAACATCCAAGTGTGGTTAAACAAATAGCGCATTAAAGCTAACGAATTCAAATCTCCACAAACTGCATTCAATATTCGCCATGGTTACTACCTACCAGTTAAACTAAATAATAACGAACTATCACAATCCGATCGCACGAAGTATCTTGATCGGCGTCTCACCTTTGATACTTTTGTTTCAAAAACATTATAGATTTTCATAGCAATCTATGCATAGACTTTCCAGATAAAAACTCTGGAGAACCTGATACCACAGCTATGTTGTAGATTCTTTAATATTAAATTAAACTAAGTTTTTTATTCTTTTGATCTTTTGTCTTCTTTATACTTCTATAAAACTTAGATTTTCTATTATTTATATATAACACATATATTTAGTACAATAATTGAATGTTATCAGAGAAATATTTAGTTCTTATACATCATACTTTCATCGCATAAATAATAAGAAAGTTCAAATTGTATTGGTTTGTTTTTAATGTCTGAAATGCAAGGATAAGCTAGATACCATATAAAGACGATTTGTCTCAGCAAAGATATTATGTTTAAGGATGTTAACTGTAGCATTTTTACCAAACATCGCTTGCCATCAATGTCATCAAAACCACATCAATGTGATCAATTTTTTTGTTGTATAGATACAGCTAACATCGGAATATATGACTACTATGCAAAAGTAGTGTCTTGATGTAATTTTAAAAAACAAGATATATATTTAAAGTTAATGTTATATATTATAATATTATATTTAAAGTTAATATCTATAATCCAACTATAAATAAAATAAAATAAAGTTTAAATTGAAATAAAGTTTTTAAATATAATATATTACAAATTACTCTCTTTAACGTTACTACAGAATACAATGGAAGAAACTCTTAACCCCATCGATAATAAGACATTTCAAAACAAAAAACATTCTTTATTAGATCGAATTGTGATATAATATATATACTCACAGTATATTCGCAGTGCTGTTTTCCACTAGAATAATGTGTCATTATTCTATCGAATTCTGTGTAAACACAAGCGAGATCATAATAGCATTTATATCGACAAATTATAACGAATGAGGAACTGTGGAGATTAACTAACCAAAGTAGGATTGCAAGCAAAATCGAAAAGCAAAAGTATGGCTGGATAGGTCACACTTTATGTAAACCTTATGAAGAAATTCCACACGCAACAATGTACTGGAACACACAAGGGCATCGACGGAGAGGCAGACCTGCAGCGACTTGGAAGCAAACTATACAGACAGAAACTAGCAAATCGATTAACGAGTTACGATGTACTGCACTAAATAGAGATAGTTGGAAAAACTTTGTTGTATCCTTAGGCTACTAAATGGAATATGGCATTTAATAATAATAATATCGACAAATAGTTCAGATACACTTCGGATGCATAATATAAATTTGAATAAAGCAGTATTTTTAATAAATCTTACCACTTTTTTGCGATATTACCCAGATTTTCTCCCTATTTGGTTTTTTTTTTCTTTTTTTCCGATTTCTTAAATATTAAAGAATTTAAGAATTTCCTTATTGTTATATTATATAATATATTTAGTGCTATTAGCTGTAGTTTACTTCAATGTATATACAGAGTTTTCCATATTGTGGCTTTGAAATTAAACATACATAAAACCCAATTGTAATGAGATTTTGATTAAAATTTAATTTCTGCAATTTGTTTAGATTATGACTTTAGGTTTGAAATAAAAATTATTCAAATATTCTGCATCTAATATATTACAGAATTGTCTACTTTTGAGGCAATTTTCAACGACTTATTGACAAATAACCAACAATAGCTATGCCATAACTTGACGGGTATTTTTTTATCAAAATGTTGACAGTCCGCATAAATACAATGTGTTAGTCCACAAAAAGGTGTAGAAGTGACAAAATTCATGATATTTATATTTGTTATATCATATTCACGTAATGTTCAAAAAAGTACATGTCTATCACAGCTTAGTATGTCACAGAGGTGACAATCTTGTTTTTTAACATATCCTTTAAGTTATAACACAACGCTTTCAGACCTACTTAACCAATAACCACCAAGTTGAAATTGAGTCTCATCACTAATGATAACTATTCGAATTTTGACAAAATTTGCGGTTTTTCAGTATCAAATAATACATATAGTAAATTTATAACCTTAAGTTAGGTTAGGTCTTGAAATCAAATGTTTTGAGTAATAGTTCTGTTTGGCATATTACTAATACAGGCCTTCCAATTTTTTTTTTTAAGATGAAAAGCTTTATGCGCCGTTAAACCGAACGTCGTCGTAATGGTGTGCCCGACTCCCTAACACTAATATGTAGTATACGGTCTAAAACACCCCCTCTTCAGCGAGACTTATTCCCCCTCGGAAACGCTTTCGCGTTACTTCTAAGATGGTTGTTGGCATAAGATGTTGGCATTTCAAGCCACGCTCTTGTGATTTTCGATCTGCGTTCAAACCACCACTTTTTCACCGCATTTTTTTGGTATCTGCACTATTCCAATTTTATTTTCCTTTCTAGGTCTAATTTCTTCGTTTTGAGGACTTGAATCACATATGACTCATATTAATGTTAGGTGTGCCCGACTCCCTAACATTGATATGTAGTATACGGTCTAAAACATCCCCTCTTCAGCGAGACTTATTCCTCCTCGGAACTGCTTTCGCTTTACTTCGTGGAGGGTCTCTTTTAGGTTGGAATTTCAAGCCACGCTCTTCTGATCTGCGTTCAGACCACCACTTTTTTGCCGTATTTTCTTAGTATCTGCACTATTCTAGTTTTGTAATTTCTTCGTTTTGAGGACTTGAATCACATATTACTCTATCGTTCGCCAACTC